TTTTTTTTTTTCTTTCTTTTCCTCTCATTCTTACAAAAAAAGGCCGAGGTCAAACAGGAGGGAAACGAAAGGAGGAATACTCACATTACCCATTACAGAAAATAAAAAAAAGAAAAAGGTCCAAAGCATTAACAAAAGGGAGACGGTGGGGGAAACTGACACAAACGGAAACGAGAGAAAAAAAAAAGAAAAAAAAAGGGACGATAAGTTAAAGTACAGATGAAAAAGCGGCAAACACCACACCCTACAGGTATAAGTTCTTATTTCTTTCAACAGTTGGTTCAACCCACAGACACGCATACAGATACTTCCACAACGACGGAAGATAATAATAAGAAGAAAAATAAGATTGACAAGGAAATTGAGAATGTGCTTAGTCAAGATGAACTGAATCGGAGAACTGCAGTTATTTTAAAAGACGCCTTTACATCAGTAGAGGCAAAGAAGTTACTGCACCGTTCCGCAGAAGAAGAACACCATCGTTCAGACACCCTTGAGGAGTTTTTAAAGGTCTCATGGGAACGAGTGGAGGAAATCATTGAACGTAATAAAGCCCGACGGCAGATATTTGAAAATGAACTTCCTCACGCACTCACTCCAATGAATACATACATCTATTGGACTCCAGACACAGTAGCCACGCGGTATAAGTTTCCAGGTCCAAACGAGTTTGGATTCCGCTCACGTGTACCTGCCAATATCACTTATACAGATACGAATGATATGGAAAAGAAGGAAACCACTCCAACACCTCCTTTGGGTGATGAGGATAGTCATACCAACCCAGCACAAATGGATTCAACACAAACTTTTCCTTCCATACCAATCCAAAATAATATTACTACTACTAATAATAATGCTAGTAGTAATAATAGTAATAATACGAATACAAATACTATTGCTGATACGACTAGTGTTACTAGCGGTGCCGCTACTGCACCTGGAAAACACCGTGCAAAGGCGTGGACCATGACGAATAGAGATCTTCTCGACCCGTCCAAATCTCCACATTGTCTTCGACGGTTATTTGCTCCTATTTTAAGGCAAAGAGAACAACTTCCCAAATCTCTTACACTCTTGCTTAACGCCGTGCAACGTCTCCAAACAGAGCGTTTTCCTGAAATTGAGGCGATTATTGAAAAGGGATTTTTTGATATGCCGGTACATCGTTCATTTCGATCTATTTCTTCTTTTGTTTCACGCTACCTTACAGAGGCTGCGAAAGGTGAAACGGAAGAGCGGGAGTTCAGTAAAGAATATAAAGCTGAAGCCAAAAAATTAACAGACGCGTATGAAAAATTACGTCAACTAGAGGCTAAGAAAACTACATCATCTTCACGCGATAGTGCAGCAGAAGTTGTATACAGCACTCTATTAACAGAGTTACGCGAACGAAAAGAACTTCATGAACGATGTAATGAAGAAATGAAGAGTATTACAGAAGCTGCTTCTGCGGAATTAAAAGAACTAGATAGGGTTTTACAAGAATGTGATAATGATTCCCGAAAAACACTTAGCGATCTTGAAGAAAATGCCAAAAAATATATGTCAGGTTTAAATGAGGCATGTGAGCATATAAAGGCCTCAAAGGAAGAAATTCATCATATTTACCAGCGTGAACATAAACTATTACAGGATTCTATAGACTCTAAACTTTACCGTGCCAAAAAGAGTGAAGAACAACAAGAGAAAATTGCCCGTCGTATTCGGGAACTTGCAAAGGAATGGTATTCGGAACAGGTAAAATATGAAAACCTTGTTCAGGAAATTATTGAGGAACGTGTTTCCCTTCGTCAGTTAGACCTTAGTCATAATCAACTCGTCACAGAGTTAGAGGCACGAGTCTCTTCAGCGGGATTTGAGATGTTAGACTGGGTCTCTGACGCCCTTCGGCAATCTGAAGAGTGTCGAGCTCGACTCATCACAGAATGTCGACAACACATTGGACGACTAAAAACAGAAGATCATTATAGACGTTGTCGAGTGGCTGGATATATGTCTGAGAATGCGTTATATTGGTCACGCTGTTTGCAAGATCTTGCTGTCTTGTGTGAAAGTCACTATGATCTTCTCTCGGAGAAGTGTAATGCCTCTTTACAGATGCGTTATCTCCTCGCCTATGAGAAGGATCAAGTGGTAAAAGATCTGCAGTATATCCAGCAAGAAATACGTAACTTGGATACCAAATGGGCTGCCCTTGTTCCACTTCTAGAGGAGTTGGAGATGCCAGTGCCACCATTAGCACAATATGAACAAGACCCGAATTGCCTTGAATTACGTCGTCTTCTCTGCGAACTCGACAGCCACCGGCTTATTCGAGGTGTGAATGTTCGGATTGCTCCGGTGAGTGAGGAGGCACCGGCATCTACACCGGCTGACACCATTCAACCTGCTGCTTCGGATTCCAACGAATAATAAAAAGAAAAAAAAAAAACCGTATTTTCTACTCAGCTTGCAGTGGTGGTGGGTGGAGAAGTGTTACTAGAGATACCAGTGAAAGTGAATGAGAAACATACACACACACACACTCACTCACTCACACCGATTCACATGGGATCTATCTATATGGATGATGGATAATATGGATGTCATGTAGGACTATCAATGTACATTTTCAAATGCATTTTGTATTTATTCTTTGGAGTTTTTTTTTTTTTAAATTGATAAGTTACCATCAACGGTTGGCTTTTCTTTTTCTGTAATGCATTTTTATGCGGTTATTTATTTATTTATTTATTTATTTCCATATCGCTTTCTTTCTTTTTTTCTTTTTCTTTGATATTGCCTTACAATATGAGTGTAGTTGCCAGTAATTGTATCAAGAGAGAAAAACAAGGATACAAACAAGACACTCAGCAAGACTGGAGAGTAAACTGGTTTTGAAGAATGTCTCCCCTTCTTCTTCCTCCTCCTCCTCGATTATGTGCGGCCCACCCATCTAATCACTTGATGGTGCAGGAACTACTTCTGCACACAGCATTAGGTGGTCAGTACTTTACATTTGGTGAACGGCAGAGATATTTAAAACTCGCTGAACACATTGCCAAACTTCCTACTGCATGCGGTCCGGCTCTCGTTGCTGGTCTTCTCCCACGTCGTGGACCACTTAGTACACCATGGCGACACGCCGCCTCACACCGCATTGCTTATGAACGCGCCTGCCAACAGATGCGGCAAGAAAAACAACAACAAGAGCAACGACCAAAAGAAAAAGAACTGGAACTAATTAATAAGAATAATCGAGTAGAAGTTTACTATGATGACGCTCGTACACACGAAAATCGTCTTGGGGATTTACTTTCATCACATGATTTTGAAGTGGCATTAATTGGAAAATTACGTTGTGGGTCTCCTGTAGCCCCACGAGCACATTTCCTACTAACTAATAACTTGTATAAAGATCTTTCTCTTACTTCTCATGAGAAGAACGAGAAGAGTTTTGAGGAACCAAACGCAAGAGTCCTCTTTGCACGGGCAATGAAGGGTCTTGAAGCGTGTGGATATCTTAACGCAGTCGCAAGGAAAAGACTGCGGGAATACGGAATGAAAACAACACGTTATGTTTGTATTGCCAGACAACCCAGTTTTGCTCCTGATCCTCTTACATCCCACAACAACCGTGGTATGCAGGAGTTACTCTTATCATGGTCGCCGCCTTGGTGCTTTCACGTGAGGAAATTGTTTCTTACTGGCCCAGACCTATTTGTGGCACACCTAATGTTACTAGCATATGAAAAAGGTTACGAACTCTTGCAGGATGGAATGTACAAACAATCAGAAGGTATTCGTGAGTTAATTTCACTGAAAAGCGAAGAGGATATCTTTGCAACACTCCAATTGCCATACGTGCATCCGTTCCATCGTTACGCCTATTGTCGTCTTCATAACTTAATGTAGGGTCTTTAAGGGATGTTGGTGAGGGTGGTGAGGGGGGAAAGAAAAAAGAAGAATCTTTCCCTTCATTTCTCTTTATTTTTTTTATTTTTTATTTTTTTGCTATCCTCACATTTTTGATCTTGGTTTTTATTCTTGGACCAAAACCTTCCTACTCCTCCTCCTCCTCCTCCTCCTCTGGTTTTTTATTTATTTTTGCCCCTTCTTTGGAGCATACAGATAATTCCGTATTTCTTATCATCTCGAAGAATGACTTTCTGTAATATCTGCTATAAGAAGACGATCTATTTTGTTTTTCTCTACCTCTCTTGTGTATATTTCTTCCTTTTTCTTCTACCATCACACTAACAACACTAACATTAAACACCACCACCACCACTACCAAAAAAAAAGGCACTTCTTAAGAGAAAAGGGCATGTCTGTTCAGCCTCACCTGCGCAAGCTCCGCAAGCTCAAGCGTGCGAACCCTTCAGCCGAGGAGGACGGCGTTGCCAAGGCTATCTTCGACCTGGAGGCAAGCCACAAGACGCTCCGCACTCAGTTGCCGCGTTTCCACATCAACACTGTGCGCACCGTGACGAGCCCGCGCTTCAAGAAGACGGCGATGGTGGTGTTCTACCCACTGCGCTTCCTCATGCTTGTGCGCAAGATCCAGAGGACCCTGACGGCGGAGCTCGAGAAGCGCTTCCCCGGCAGCGTAGTGGTGCTTGTGGCTCAGCGCAAGATCACCAAGCGCCCCACCGACGTGTACAAGCTGCAGAAGGTGCAGCGTTCCCGCACAAGCGCGGCGGTGTTTGAGAACATCCTGAACGATCTGATTTACCCATGCGACGTTGTTGGCCGCCGCTGGCGTTGCCGCACTGACGGCAGCAAGGTGATGAAGGTCTTCTTGGACTCTCGCGACCGCAAGCGTGTGGAGTCACGCCTTCCCATCATTGCTCACGTGTACAAGCAGCTCACACACCGCGCCGTGAACTTTGGATTCATGTGGAACCCGAAGCTCCAACAGGTGTCCTCTCGGTGAGGTTCATCGAAGTGAATAGGAAGATGTCATGAGAAACTATTTCTTTTTATTTATTACTTTTCTTCAGAAAAAAAAAAAAAAAAACAAAAACAAACAAACAAACAATAATATACATATATTAGATAATTCACAGTGCTGCTGGGGTTATTTGAAGTTTCCTTTTTTTGGTGTTACTGGTTATCTTGTAAAAGAAAAGATCTTTTGCTCTTTCTTTCTTTCTTTCTTTCTTTTTCTTTTTTTCTTGTTTCTTCTCATTTTGTGAATATGTGTGGAAAGGGAGAAGGATGTCTGTTCAGCCTCACCTGCGCAAGCTCCGCAAGCTCAAGCGTGCGAACCCTTCAGCCGAGGAGGACGGCGTTGCCAAGGCTATCTTCGACCTGGAGGCAAGCCACAAGACGCTCCGCACTCAGTTGCCGCGTTTCCACATCAACACTGTGCGCACCGTGACGAGCCCGCGCTTCAAGAAGACGGCGATGGTGGTGTTCTACCCACTGCGCTTCCTCATGCTTGTGCGCAAGATCCAGAGGACCCTGACGGCGGAGCTCGAGAAGCGCTTCCCCGGCAGCGTAGTGGTGCTTGTGGCTCAGCGCAAGATCACCAAGCGCCCCACCGACGTGTACAAACTGCAGAAGGTGCAGCGTTCCCGCACAAGCGCGGCGGTGTTTGAGAACATCCTGAACGATCTGATTTACCCATGCGACGTTGTTGGCCGCCGCTGGCGTTGCCGCACTGACGGCAGCAAGGTGATGAAGGTCTTCTTGGACTCTCGCGACCGCAAGCGTGTGGAGTCACGCCTTCCCATCATTGCTCACGTGTACAAGCAGCTCACACACCGCGCCGTGAACTTTGGATTCATGTGGAACCCGAAGCTCCAACAGGTGTCCTCTCGGTAGACGTTCTAATGTGAAGAATCCTTCTATCCATATTTCATCTACTTTACGTGGTTTTTTTCTTTGATTGTTTTCAAATAAAAAAAAAAAAATAAAAAATACCCCTGTAAGTCCACAACTCGCCTATGTTGCGTGTTTGTGTGACTCTGTGTTGTTTCTCCGCTGAGGTATTGGCGGGTTTTTTTTCTTTCACTCTAGTAATTGGGATCTTTTTCCCTATCTCTCTCTATATATGTAGATATGGGTTTGTTTTTGCCCCTTTTTTTTCTTCTTCTGCTTGTTTTGTTCTTTTTTTTCTTTTGGTTTTATAGGAAATAGAGGTGTATAAAGATGCATTCGGCTGAGGATTCTATCGTTGTGGTATCCTTTGATTGTGATAGAAGTGTAGTGGTTGGATTGTCATGCGAACGTACTGAACCTACAAGATGGTTACTCGTACATGGTATTCCAATTGATGTGGGGTTATCACAGTCATTACAAACTCTTGACTCATGTGAACGGCGGCGATCACAAGCAGCAGCAGCAGTAGCATCAGTATCGTTATCATCATCAACTTCGTCATCATCATTTTTATCTAATAAGGCTGGACATAGTCTCAAAAGTGAGGCTACGGGAAGCAGTGTATGGAGTAATGGTAACGAGGAATGTATTCGTGTGGTCCGGGTAGGTTATATTCCGGATGAGGATCGCTGCTACTGCCTTCTTTTACAGTATGCTACTTCCAGTGATGCGGAACATGTGAGAGAACATCTTTTACATTCTGATTTCACTGGTAATAAAGAAACCCTATCGGAGTATGTGCAACCATTAGGTAAAGTAATGACTTTGCGATATTCAAATGAAACTGGTAGTGTCAAAAATGTATATGATAACACTACTGAAGAAATCAGTTTGGAAGAATTGTGTAGCGTGGTACGGGAAAGATTGGGTTGTACTCAAACGCAGAGTGAAAACTCTAGCAGTTGTACACGACGAATTTCTGATAAACAAGAAGGAAGTCGTTTAAATTGTTTTGCAGATGCATTAGTGCCTACAGGAGATTTTTGTTCCATTTGTCAAGAGGAAATTGCTTCTGGGAAACCCTTTATTGTAACATTGTGCAATCACGTTTTCCATTTACAGTGTCTTGGTAAACACTTGGAAGGTGTTGGTCCACTTTGCCCACTCTGCCGATTCTCCATGGCATCCTTAGAGTTAAAATGTCAAGGGTGTGGGACTCATCAGGATTTGTGGACGTGTTTGGTGTGTGGATGGGTTGGATGTGGACAGGGATACCGCAGTGATCATCTCCAGCACTTTGAGAGCACTGGACACTCTTGTGTAATGCAGAACGGCACCTCCCGTATTTGGAATCACCGTGCAAAGACATTTCTTCATCATCAACTCGCTATTGAGTTGGGATATGAAGATGATGCCAAGGCCCGTCAGGCAGCCGCAGCGGAGTCCTCTGTTTCTCATCATTTCAATAAGGAAGAAGAAAATGTGACGGCTTCATCCTATTGGCGTAGTCGTTGGTGGTGGGATGAAAAGGATGAAGAGGCGGCATTAGATTTAAATGCGGAATATGTACGGGAATATTATATGAAGGAAATGGTGAAACTCATGGATGAACAGATGGAATATTATGAAAAACGTTATGGAGGTACAGAGATGGAGCCATCAACATCATCCTCCTCTTTATCAACCTCTGCTTCTGCTTCTGCTTCTTCATCTTCATCATCGCTTGCCATTTTGTTAAGAAAGTTATTAGTGGCGGAGCAGCGACAACGCCGTAGAATTATTTCAGAATATGTGACGGACATGCGTCGAATTATGTTACATGATCAAATGTTATTTAATCGATTTGTAAAATATGAGGCAACGCGAAATCAAAGTCTACGAGAGGAGTTACTTTTACTTTCACATGCCACTCAAAATTTAAATGATCGAGTTCCTATAGTAAAATCAAACATTGAAAAAGCAACCAGACGAGGGTCACGGGAGATGGCTGTAAGAGAAGAAGAACTGAAAAAACTCCAAGAGAAACTGGAGAGTTTGTTGAAAAGCTTGGAGTAATGCAAATTTTTTTTTTTTTGTTATTATTATCTTTTTCAAATTTATTTTTATATGGTGGATTTTTTTTTTTTTTTAGTGCTTAGTTGACTTCTCTTTCTTCTTTTTTTATTATTCTTCTTCGATTGCTTGACTTTTTGGTATATTCAACGATTCGAAATATATATATATATATATATATATATATATGTGATTGACTTTTGGTTATTCACATATTACTGTTAATTTTATTTCTACGCTCATGGATGGAAATATCTTCTATTAACTCTCTTTTTTTTTTTCTATGGAATCATTTCTTTTCTTTTTAATACACCTACCTATTGAAAGAAAGAGAGACTAACAATAAAGACGGGTGGTATATACACATTCAACCACAAACAGAACAATAAAAAAAGAGAAAAAAAAATCGAAAAAGAAAGTAAAAGAACAAAAAAAAAAAAAAAAAACAGTTCTCATCATAGAATCTATTCCAATATGCCTCGTAAACAATGGTCGAAGCTCCGTTCAGATGCTGTTACCGCAGCGCACAATCCCACTGCGGATGTGTCTTATCCAAAGAGTGAATTGGTACAAAAGGCGAGTAGGACTAGTGGCGAACGGTACAAAGTAGCAGTTAACAGGGGGATTAGTAGAGATGATAACACACAAGAGAAGGAACACAGTTTACAATCACAACAGCAAGAACCTAATCAGCAGCAAGAGGATCATCAAGTATCCAGTGATGATGTGTTATCCACACGCAAACGGATTCGAATTGAGAAATCAGTAGATAGTACGCAAGATAGTAGTTCTTCAGCGAAACCTTCTGTAGTATTTACTCAAGTAGAATCTCTGCAACTGACACCACCAGTAAAGGTTAAACACCGTACAATGGATACTACTACTAATACTATTATTCCAGCTAGTAAGGATAATTCTCCTGCTCCTGCGGTTGCTGGAAATGATGGGCCTATGAAGTTGGATAATAATATCTCTCGCACAGAAGCCGAAGTCCTGCAGCAGCACGGTCCTTTAACGCAACTCAACAGTATTTACTTATCACATGGTGAAAGTAGTCATGATAGCAGTATCACCACAGAAGAGGATCCAGCAGAAGAAAAAGTAGAGGAAATGGAAGATCGTCTTCGTCGCCGTAGAGAAGAATTACTGCAGATTTCACCTGGGAAACTCGCCTTATATACACGCCTTGCAGAGTGTGGTATAGATGCAATAGATCGACCTTTTGTAACCTGTGCTGTGAAGCGAGCACAAACTGTCGTTGCAGAGTGGGCTTCAAGCTTCATGTAGAGAAAGAGAGAAAGAGAAAGAGAGAAATATAGAAATACCCTCTTTATCTTATTATTCACAGAATCACTTGATTTACCAACTTTTTATTTATTATCATTTTTACACTTCTTGTTGATTCTTTTTGCTGCCAATAGGCGAAACTGTAATTTGAACGGAATCCCTGAAACGAGGGTGACACACCTAAACAAGAAAACAAAAAAAAACTGGACGTTATAAAATCCATTGACATAAAGTAGAGTGCTTATCTGCTTCTCTATTTTTTTTTATTCTTATTTTTATTCTTTTCTTTTCTGTATACATGCGTATGTATAAGGGGAAGGAGAGAAAGAGTAAAAGAGAGGGAGTTTCTTTCTCTTTGATTTTCTCTCTCTCTCTCTCTCTCTGTGTGTGTGTCTGTGTATCTCTGTGAATGAAAGAAATGCAGGGTAGATTACTCTTTTTCTTCGGATATATTCGGAGTATGTACGAAGGTTTCTTTGGGGTCATGGTAGTACTATATGTGCTTGCCATTCTGTATAAAAACAGACAATCCCGCAGTGTGGCAGGATTATCCTGTTTGACGGTATCATCAACATCATCTTCTGCAGCTCTCTCACTGCCTGCCTTTAAGAAATTCCAGCGTAGTTTTCTGATTGTTTACTTTCTTGCTATGGCCGCTGACTGGATGCAGGGCCCATATGTATACCGTCTCTACTCACACTATGGCTTTAGTCGACAGGAGAATGGCATTCTGTTCATCGCCGGCTTTGGGGCTTCATTACTGTTTGGCACGTGGGTTGGACCTTTTACCGATATGTGTGGACGACGTAAGGCTTGTGTGATGTATGGTGTGATCTACACACTTAGTTGTGCGACAAAACACGTCAACCACTTTTGGGTACTTATCGTAGGAAGACTGTTGGGTGGAGTGGCCACATCATTGCTGTGGTCAGCGTTTGAGAGTTGGATGATTAGTGAACACTACACACGTGGATATGATGCGGCTTCACTCAGCCACACTTTTTCACTCATGAGTACAGGGAATGGATTGGTAGCGGTGGTTTCTGGGCTTGTAGCGCAGTGGGCTGCGGATACTTTTCAACACCCTGTTGCCCCATTTGATGTGAGTGCTATTCTACTCTTACTTTGTATGGCTCTTATACTTATGCAGTGGTCGGAAAACTACGGTAGTGTGCAAACAAGTATTTTTGGACAAATGCGAGAAGCAGCTATGGTGGTACATCGTGATAGTCGAGTGGCTCTTACTGGTTTACAACAATCTTTGTTTGAAGCTGGTATGTATGCTTTTATATTTCTCTGGACACCTGTATTGGAGTCTGATGGGGATGTTCCACATGGAATTGTTTTTGCATCTTTTATGGTGGCTGTGAGTTTGGGTGGAATGTTGTTTAACCTGCAGCTGGAGCGGGTTGTGGGGTGTATGCCGGTAGTTTACACACTTGCTGCTATTACTATGCTGGTGCCTGCCTTTGCAAATACCAGATTTCTCAAAATGATAGCGTTAACATCTTTTGAGGTGGTGGTGGGTTTCTTTTGGCCTTGCATTGCAACCCTGCGGGCGGCGTATATTCCAGAGGAGTATCGGGCATCTGTGATGAATCTCTTTAGAGCCCCATTGAATGGTATTGTCTGTTTTCTTCTTTACTTTCAGGGATACATGGGGCTACAGATAATATTTTTCCTTTCCTCACTACTTCATGTGGGAGCGGCGTTGAGTGCGATAAGACTCAGTTCGTTGGCAAAGCGACACGCAGCAGATGTATAAATAGTAGTGGTATGTAATATCAGAAGCCTTGCTATTTTCATATTATATATATATATATATATATATATATATATATATAAATAATATGAATCTCTGCGTTGATATTTTTCTTTTCTTATTGCACTCTCTCAACTTCTACGATGTGGTTGAAATGTGGAGTTTCTTGTGGTGAGGAATGGTTATATTAGCAAAAACATTTTTTTGTTTTTATATTTTTAAATTTTTGTTTTTGCATTTATTGTTGTTGATATCGTAGTTATTAATAATAATAATAAAAGGGGAAGAATAACTGATATTACTGTTATCATCATGTATCTGCGTTTTGTTTTCTTTTTTTATTTCTCTTCTGTTAAGGTACACTCTTTGATAAGGGGCGAAGGTTCAGAGGAAAACCGAAAAAAGAAAAAAAAAGGAAGCTGATCAACCAGCAAGAACAAAAGTCAAAAAAAAAAAAAAAAGCAAAGGAGAACAACAGCAGCAAACAAAAGGAAGTGTAAGAAAATAATAATTCAATAAAACAAGATCATCAAAAAAAAAAAGAAAAAAACAAGCAAATAAAGAAACCGAAGGAAACTAAGACACGAAACACAACAAGATATAGATCTATACATCCATACATACATCTGATAAACTAGAGAACGAAAGCAAGAAAAAGAAAAGAAGAAATAAATAAATAAATAAAGAAAAGACCCCTTTACGTTAAGAGATTCTCATTATGCCGTTAAGTGATGTCTCTCCAGTCCACGACGCCCTTCTCATTGTCGACATGCAAAACGACTTTGTGCGGCCCGATGGCGCCTTGGCAGTTCCCGCCGCCCCGGAGGTGATTCCCGTCATTAATGAGATCTGCCGCCGCCGCTCATTTCGCGCGGTGGTCCTCACAAAAGATTGGCACCCACCCGATCACTGTTCCTTCCGCAGATCCAACAACAACAATAATAATAAAGATAATAATAATGATAATAATAATAATAATGGTGGGCCGTGGCCGCCTCACTGTGTGCGGGGCACGCCGGGGGCCGAACTGCACGCCGATCTGCAGACCGCCGCCGCCACGCACATCATCCACAAGGGCGTCAGTGCCGCGGCGGAGAGTTATTCCGCGTTTGCGGATGAGTGCGGCACGACGACAGGACTGGCCGCGTTGCTGCGGGGCTTAAGTGTGCGGCGTGTGTGGATCTGCGGTGTGGCCTACGAGTATTGTGTGTACTTCACCGCCCGGGATGCGGTGCGGGCGGGATTTGAAGTTGTGGTGCTGCAGGACGCGACGCGGGCGGTGGACACAACAGTCGTGCCGGCGCGAATGTTGGAATTGCAGCGGGAGGGAGTTGTGCATGTGAACAGCGGTGTGCTCGCAGAGGCGTGTCCATCGGCGTGTGCGTGTGAGGACTGCTGTTGCAATAACGATGATCAGAACGGCAATATCAATGATGCTCCTTGTAAATGTACACTTAACACTGATATGATGTGTAAGACGGCAATGACGACAGCAACGACAGCGGCGACGGTTCGTACTTCTCTCCCATCTTGAGCAGAATAGCGTGTGATTTCCTTTTTTTTTTGGGTTTTCTTTCTTTCTTTCTTTGGTTTTTTTTTTTCTCCCTCTTCTTTTCTCTCCGTAGGCCTTTATTTTTCTGTTTTTTTTTTTCTCCTTTTTGTTCGTGTGGTTCTTATTATTATTGTTATTATTCTCTTTCTACTTGCCGCTATTTATTTATTTTTCACTGTCTGCAGGTTCTCTACGTCTTTTTTTTTTTCTTCCTTGTACAAGAATATCTGTACTCTACGTTGATCAAAATCATTGCTTCGGTGGGATTTCTCTTCTCTATAAATGTACTTCTCTCTCTGTGTGAGTATATATATATATATATATATATATATATATGCAACACACAGTAACATTGGCCTTAATTCTGTAGCCTAATATGGATGTGTGTGAATTACCGCAAAGTAAATGGAAAACATTGATTATTGACATCAACGTAACAGTGATTGTTCGCGACATTGCGAAAGAAAAAAAATAAGAAGGAAAACAATTCAAAAGAAGATATAACTAACTAATTTCCCTTTTTTCTCTTTATTATTATTATTATTTTTTTTTTGAATTCTCGACCTCTAGTCTTCAAGGACCCTAGCGTAAAGAAGAAAGCAAATAAGAAAAAAAAAAATCACAAGAGTGTCAGAAAAGCAAGGGAGAAGCATATAAAGAAAGAAAGGAAGAGAAAGTAGAAGTTAGTGGGGGAAGAAAGGCAGAAGATAGGCTTTCCCACTACTACTACTATTATTATTATTACTATCACTATTACTACGGTTACCACTATTATCATCAGTACCGCCGTTTTTTCTTCAGCGTTGCTACCACAATCACCATTATTATTATTATTATTACTCTCTCTTCCTCTTTGAAAAACTGAAGAACTTATTTCTACGTGTTTTGCACTCCATGTCATCAGAGGGACCGCCGACAACAGTGCCCACTGCCCCCACTGCTTGCAGTGAGGTGGAGGGGGGCAATAAAAATACTGCACCGACGGAACCAACAACAACAACAAAAACTGCAGTAGAAACAACAAAAACAACGCCTGCAGTAGAAACAACAAAAACAACGCCTGCAGTGACAGCAGCTCCACCAGCAACGACACCTGCGGTAGCAACTGTTGCAACAGTGGCGGCAACAACAACAGCGGCAGCAGCACCAACAGCATCTGCAGTAGAAACAACAAAAGCATCGGCAGTGACAGCATCAGCATCAGCATCAGCACCAACAACAACAACAACGACAACAGCGACAACAACAGCGACAACAGCGGCTGCTACAAAACCGGCAGCAGAGGCTTCTTCAACGGTGTCTTCGCAGACAGTGGGTGCCCATGAGGTATCATCAAAGAAAAATGCACCTGAAGAGAAAGCGAACGGAGTGCGTGAGCAGACTGGTGTACCTGCAGCAAAGGAGGGATTAGTGGTAGATACACCAATTGTAGTATCATCACCGAAGCCAAATCTAAATGCCAACGCGGAGTCCTTTACACCAGTTTCTGCGAGCCTGCAAAGATCTTTAGGTACTTATCCCGTAACCCCCAACCGAAAGGTGTCGAATACGACGAACAGGAGTGAGATGCGTGGGAGTACGTCGAGAAATATTCAGCATGGGCCGCCGCTCCCCCCACCGCCGCCGCCGCCGCCGATGTACCCGGCCTCCATGATGTTGCCGGCCCTCATTCCAAACATGCCGCCGCCCCCGCCGCCCCCACCGCCGCCGTCAGCGACGCCGTTTTTTGTGCCGCCGCCGGGGATGCAACCGCCGCCGTCGCCGCTGATGCCGCACTTCGTGCCGAACCTCGCGGGAGTCCCGCCGCCGCCGCCGCCGCCGCCTTTTATGCCGCCGCCTCCCCCGCCATCGTGTGGAGGGCCCATGTCGTTTCCCGGGCCCATTGGCGTTGCCATGTCATCTATGTTAATGGCAAAGGGACCGGATGCCTCTTTATTGTCTTCTGTATTTCCAAATGGATCGATGGGACCACCACCGCCACCGCCACCAACCGCCATGCCACCTCCACCACTGCAACAGCAGCAACTTCAACAATTAGGTCTTGTTCCACAACCACAAGGTGTGCGTGTAAGTGTTGGTAATGCCACTTTGGCAGCACTGGTGTCAAAGGAACCACCCAAGTTCTCCTGTGTGTTACTTTCTGGTATTCCTGGTGTTGGGAAGACAACAATGGGTCGAGAATTGGTTAGTGAATTAAAGAGGGATGGACTCGGATGGGTCTTCTTTTCAGGAGCTGATTTTCTCGCAGGAACAACTGCAAAACGACCAGCATGGGAGACTACAAAGGAGGTATTTGATGCTCTTCAAAAACGTCTTGATGAACTTCTTGAGCAACAAAAGAATGAACGAAATGTTAAAGGACTTGTTATTGACAAAAATGTGAAAAGTATTGAAGATATTTATTATCTTGCTGCTTTGCTCAAGGCTCGACAAATTCCTTTTGTTGGCATTGTAGGCATGGAGGCAGAAAATGATGATGTACTTTTGAAACGTATGGGTGGTGGTGAAGAACTTCGTGAAAAGTTAAAATATCACCGTGTTATTCATGCTAGAGTTCGTGCCCTAGCCAAAAGAGCAGGAATGTATCGTGAGATTGATGCAACGAAATCTATGGAAGAAGTATTAAATTCACTTCGTACAATGGTACTTGGATGTTGTGCACAGCCACCACAACGTGGTATACGAATAGACCTTTATGGTGATTCTACGGCAACTGCTATGGTGGATAATCATACCGAGTTCTGTGATGTACTGACAAAACTCTTTGATCTTGTTCAAACTACAAAAGGATTAGTTCCACATTACCCCGGAACGGCTGATTTTACACCGTTTTCAACGCGGGAAATGACTGAAAAGAATCGTGTTTCCACTATTAAGTCCGGTTATGGTGTTCGTCGTTTAAACAGTGGTGGTCGTCACTTATTACTCTACCATAATGGAAGTCTACATCTTATTCCAACACACCTCAAGGCAGTACTTCGAATGCCGGAAAAGGCATGGTTGGGGAGCAAATTAGATACTGTTGGTTCTTTTGTACTTGAGGGTGATTTGGTTCGACTTAATAAGGATCGTTCTGGGGAGAAATTTTTGGTCTTTGATGCCCTATTTTGGAGTAATGCAGAACACCCAGAAACGAATGAAGTGATGCGTATGAACTGGGCAGAAAGACAGGCATTTCTTGCTACTCATTTACCTGCAGAAAAGAATGCCGTTTTTCCTTCTGGTACGAACTGCATTGTGGTACATCAAGCAACTGTTAAACTTGAGGAAATTCGTGAAATGCTGGAAAGCAGTGATTACCCAAGTGAGGGAATTGTATTTCAGCCTATTCATGCCGTAAATACATATGAAAAGGTATATGTATGGCGTCCACCATCCAGCATTACGGTTGATTTCCGTATTGGTGCTTTAAAGAGTACTACAACAGATATGATCGTTTCAGATGGCAGTATAAAAGAGGGAGATGGCGTCGTAACGAGTAGCATCAACAGTCCCTCATCCACTTCTCATTTTCAACAGCAACAACAACAGCAGCAACAACAGCAGCGCTTGTCTAGTGTACTTTCTTTAGGTCAAAGTGTTTCAAGTCAGGGAGGTCTTGGTCGAAGTGTGTGTCAAGATAATATTCCCACACGAACCTTTGAACTTGAGGTATATGATAAGTATGAAAAGGAATATACACAATTTGAAGATGGTACTGTTGAGGTAAGAAATCCAGATGTAGTGGAGGGTTGCATTTGTTCCTGTGTGCTGGCGGATGAAAAGAAACACACATGGACGTTTGAACGTATTCGTTATGATGCCCTTCGTCCAGCGTACAAGCGTGATGTAGTCACATTACTGGAAAACTGTATTATTCCAAAGGCTAAACTCATACACTGGCTTGAACATGAGAAGATTATTCCCCCCGCCCCAGGAAATACACCACCCATGCAGCCCATCATTCCAGGATCTGCAACACCAAAATCCACCGCAACACCAACAGGAACTCAAACACATCATGGAATTGGTCTTCCAACATATGCCAGTGCTGTGATGATGCAGCATGGTGGAATTCCAGGAACTGTGCCTATGCATATGCCTCCACCACCACCCGTAACAGAGAAGAGTGGATATCAAACTATGTTTCCACGAACTTCACCTAACAGGATGTCAAGTTCTCAGAATTCTGTTATGGCGGCACTCGCAGATCCTGTTTACAAAATACATGGTCCAATGAATGCGGCTACGGAACCTCGTACAAAGACGCCTCATACTAAACCTTCTTCAACTGGAGATGTACAGCCTCTCTCCACATTGGAACTGTTAACAACAATGGTCCCATCTGTGCACATTGTTCGTACGGATAGCACAAGTGAAAAGCATAAAAGTAATCAAAAGGACCATTCACGCCAGCAACGTGATCGTAGCGAACAACATGGAGGACGTTCAATGGATGAGAAGGGAGGAGATGAAAAGGGAGGCAACAGTAAAAAATCATCACGTCATAACAAGACACATCAGAGTGGTGGTCAAGGGAATACAGAAGTTCCAGCCAACTGTGCGCAGTGTTCTAAGAAGCAACAGCCGGAGGATCTTCGCCTTGACAAGCGAGATCAGAATTACTACTGCTATGGCTGTTGGGCGAAACTAGGTTGGGAGTTCTGTCGAGAGTGTAATGAGTTCAAGGAGGGTTATCGTGAGCGAACACGGCGCCGTGTGGGGGACTTCTACTGCAATGACTGTTGGGCCTCCTTCAATAAAGACGGCAACGGCGATAAGAAGCGGGCGGATCGCGCCTCTAAACAGAAGAATGACGCCCCGCAGCAGAAACAGCAGGACGGGGAGCCGCACACAACAACAACAACAACAGCGGCAGATGTCGTTTCCAACGAAGTAGGCGAGAAGAGTGAGAGCGCACGGCGGCGAAGGGCGCAGAAGAAACCGCAGAATAAAAAGAAAAAGAAGTCAGCGGGAGACTCCGCCGGTGATCTCCACAACGCGGAGGAGGGAGGAGCCCCTCACAGTGAATCGAAGCGGGAGGGGCCGGCGGGTGGAAAACAGAAGGGGCGGAGTAGAAGAAACGAGAAGCGAAGTCAATCCGGGCCAAAAGAGATGATGATTGCAGAGAGGCCGGAGTCCCAGAATGATGTTCCAAACGATGTGAATGTTCCAGTTGAGTAAATTTTTTCTTTTTTTTCTTTTTTTCTTTGTTTTTCATTTTTTTCATTTTTTATTTTATTTTAAATCTTTCCTTTTTCTTTTTTTTTTTGTTTTTTTTTTTCATTTTTTTATTATCTTTCTCTTTACTTTTATCTATCTTTATTGAATAAAGGAATGAATGATCAAAAATAATTGTTGATTGTAATGTTGTTATTGTGTTTGTGTGTGTTGGGAGAGTAATGTTGTTGTAGGCGCTTTTTTTTTCGATCGGAATAAATGATGTGGATTAACGTGTATGTATGTATGTTTGTTTGTTGCTCTGTATGCATATATATATATATATATATATATATATATATATATATTTATTATTATTATTATTATTATTATTATTATTATTATTATTATTATTATTATTATTATTATTATTATTATTATTATTATTTTGGTCTCTCTCTCTCTCTCTCTCTTTCTCTCTTTCTATCCCTTTAATTTTACTCTGCAGCCATCTACACTCTCTTGCACACAACTTCTATTCTCTATTTCAGTTTTCATCCCTCCGCGGACTTTTTCTTTAACTTTTTTTTTCTCTCCCATCTTTTCGGAACGGCAGAAAGCCGTATTTTATTATTATTATTATTATTATTATTATTATTTCTGTTTTTCGTTTTGTACTTGATTATTCTATCTTTTTTCTTTTTTTAAAAAAAAGAAATCTATATATGGAGCATAAGAGAGAAAAAACAAAAAAGAAATAAATAAACAGATGATGATAATAATGAAAAAGAACAAAAAAAAAAAAAAGAAAGGGAGGGATTGAGAGGTTTCTGAAGGGAAAAAGAAAGAAAGAAAGAAAAGATAATAAAGAGATGGTACTTTTCTCTGCAATGATGATGATGATGATATCATTTGCGTTTTTTTCTTTTTTAGTTCTTTCTCCATTCTCACTTCTCCTCTAATCTCTCCAACAGAGAATAATGAGAGAGAAGAGAAAAGAGAAAAGGAGAAAAGAGAAAAAGAGAGGATCGCATCTATTTGCAAGTATAGGGGCAATCTCATTTGTGTAGACTACATTGGGAGACTGTATACATTATATTGGGATGAGCAGAGAGAAAGGGAGAATAAGAACAAGAACAAAAAAAGAAAAGACTTGAAGGAAAGTTTTTTTTTTTTTTTTTTTTTTTTTTTTACTGAGAAGAGAGAAAGAAATGATGACGACGAAAAAAGAAAAAAAGTAAAAAGAAAGAAATGTGAATTTTTTTTTTTTTTTTTGTGTGTTGGTGGAGTCCATTATCATTATCATTATCATCTTTTTTTATTTATTTATAAATAATTGTTTGTGCTGCACTTGAAAAAATCCCTCCATTCCCCCTTTTTTTTTAATTTATTTATTTCTCTTGCGTTGATGAACTTTTTTTTTTCTTTCTTTTCATTCACTTACTCACACCAAAAAAACAGGTAAGCCTAATGTCCACAAAAAAAAAAAAAAAAAAACAAAAAAAAACTGATCAATAACGAGAATGTCAAGAAGAAGAAGAAGAAAAAAAAGAAGACTTCAACACGAGACAAGATAAGTTCCTGAAATAAAAAAAAAAAAAAAACAAAGAGTTAAAAAAAAACTAAATTAATGAAAAAAAATTATCTAAGTCTTACATTTGCTCGTACGAACATAAGAAATACAGAAAGAGAGAGAGAGGGGAAAATCAAAAAAAAAAAAAATAATGAGAAGGGTATACATCCCATTATATGCATATTATAAGATGCATACACATTCATTCCTCTTCTTCCGTTTTCTTACGGTTTGTGATCAAAAGAAAATTCCGCCGCCGTACTTTTTTTTTTGGCAGCAGAAACGTTATTAGCATTCTGTAGAGTGGTGCTGTGGATGGGCGATGATAAAAGAAGAAAAAGAATAATAATAAAGTCAAAGAATGATTCTTTTGCAGTGAACAAAAAAAAAAGTAAAAGAGATAAAAAAAAAACAACAACAAGAAAATAATCAGAAGGTTAAAACACAAAAAAAGAAAAAGAAAGCTTTTGAGCCTATTTATTGTTGTAATATTTGCGTACCTGAAAGTATATATATATATATATATACGGACTTACTTACACATACACATTCTATACACTGCATGTGGATAAACACATGTGCGTGTTTCATTATCTTTTAATATAAAAAAAAGGTACACAAAGCAGACCCCTTCTGTGGGTATACAATTGAGTGAAGGGAAGAAAAAGAGGGGAGAATCATGGAGGTTAAGAATGAGAGGTGAAAGATATTATCAGAGAAGTATCTTAAGACTGAATTCGTTTTTTTTTTTTTGTTCTTTTTCCTTTTTATTCTCACAGAGAGAGGACCCCCCCCCATCTCATTTCTTTTTTTCCCCCTTTTTTTTTCTGTATTGCATTCAATGATACTTACATGTATGTTATTCCAACAGGCGCCAAAGTCCATTGACGCTGTTAGTCGTGGGATCTGTTTTGTTTGTGGTTGCCGCTGCAACTACAGCCACAGCTGTTGCTGTTGTTGATGATGATGATTGATAATAATAAGAAGGAGGAGAAGAAAGAAAGAAAGAAAAAGAAAGGAGAGATGTTGTTAGGGCGATATTGCTTTCCTTTTTTTTTTTATTTTGTTTTTCTTATGGTGGTACTCTTTTTCCACTTGTGAAATGTGCTCTTTCTGGGCACAAAGGAGTAGTAGAAAGAGGGAGAGAGATGTGATTGAAGAAATACGAGATTTTTTTTTTTTAAAAAAAAAAGAAAAAAAAAAAAAGAAGCGTACCAGCACCATGTCGTTGTGTTGTGCTTGGCACCGGAAACCAACACATATACTTTTCCATACGTATATGCACACTGTAAAAAAAAAAAAAAAACAATATATAAAGTGCGATAACACGTGAACACTGTGATTTCTTATTTGCTTACTGAGAGAGATTATACCAACCGAGAAA